TTTTCATTTTCTTCTTCAATCGATCCAAGATGGGGAAACAACGATCACATAAAAAGAGAAGGGGGGAGGGACCCTCTCTTTCAAAAGAATACGTTGAGTGTTACATGAAACGAAGCCATTTCAAGTGTGTAATGTTCTCTCTCATAATGTTGGCAACCTCTTAGAATCAGAAAGTCAATTCTCAAACCAAATGCATTGTCACCTCATCAATTCAGAAATTCTGACTCACAGCGACCCTATAGAAAAACAGTGAAACTACCCCTGTGGGTTTCCAAGACTGTAACTCCTGATGGAAGTAGAAAGCCTCATTTTTCTCCTACGGAGCAACTGGTGGTTTCAAACTGCTGAACTTGTAGTAAGCAGCCCAACATCTGAGCAGTATGCCACCAGTGCTCCTAGAAACTTATGGGGCCCAGACAGTGTATTCTATTCTGTTCTATTCTATTCCAAAGCACTTCCTCAGATGACTCCAAAACCTGACATTCATAAACTCAATAAAAAATTAAATTGCTAAGGCTCATCTTTCCTTTGATCATATGATGTATGCGAGTATCAAATACTGTTACACAGATAGCAACAGATTCCAAATACGCCTGCGAAGAAAGTACTGAGGAAACCTGATGAAGCAGTTAATTCTCAAAAATGTTTAATGCAAACTAGGCAGGCATTTATCACAACAAATCCTACACTAAGACGTCTTGGGTTAACTGGTCTTGTCCTGAAGACAAAAGTGCTTAGAATCTATCATCAGAGTGGACTGCACAAGCCTTCTGCCTGTCACGCAGATGGGGCTACACCGTATGCACATGGGACATGGCACTGACAGGGGTGTTTCTTGCTTATGTGAACTAAAGACAAAACCCATCAAAGGATATCTAAGCCCAAACAGAAATAAGGTATACATGCGCTTTACACAACTGATGTATGTATGGATTGTGATAAGAGTTGTATGAGCCCCTAATAAATTGATTAGAAAAAAAAAGAAGGTATACCTTAATTGTTCATTTTTAAAGGCCTTCCTGCTTCTCTAAAATGGAAAGTTCCAAGCACCATAGCCGTCACGCTCTCACCAGTGCTGTATGACCCGCAAGGTCAACAAGGGCAGAGCCCGGTTCAAAGCACTCACGCAAATGCAGAACACGGGCTCCGCTGAATGCCCCTCCTGCACAGGTGCGGCAACTGAGCGGGTGGAAAGAAAGGCTTTGGTCCTGGAGCCTAGGAGAGACACTGGAAATTCTTGACAGCGCAGTGGTTACAGCGCTGGGCCGCTAACCAAAAAGTCAGTGTTTTGAACCCACCAGCAAAAGACGTGCTTCCATAAAGATGACAGCTCTGACGACCTGGTGGAGCCGTTCCATTCTGTCCCGTGGGCCTCCAGGAGTCAGAACCACTCCCACGACAATGGGTTTGGTTTGTGGTGGGAGACACTTGAGGGAGCCTGGTTGAGGCAATGTTAGTGGTTTCATGCCACCAACGGCTCTAGGGGAGAAAAGACCCAGCTGTATCTGTTCCCATAAAGATTCCGGCTAGGACAGCCCTGCGGGGTGGGCATGCTCCTCAGTACTGAAGGGTCAGGAGGGGTCCAAACTGACTCCACAGCACACTACCACAGACAAATGCCGTGGGAACCCTGGTCCGCAATGACAGAGGCCGGGGTTCTCCATGAGGAGTGCCAGGCCGAAGAGAATCTGTACGCCCAACTCCATCTTACAGGTGGGACAGCCAAGGCCCAGACGAAGCACGAAGCACGTGATCGAAGAGTTAATCAAAGTCCTCAGGGTCAAGTCCGGGCCTCTGGATTCTGGGTTTCTGCATCTTCCATCCACCGAGATTTGTGTATAGCTGGCTGTCAATAAATATTTAGCTAATAAATGAATTAATGGCACAATGTCTATACTTGCCCACCAAGTAATGCCCAAGAATAGTCCCTATCTTGGGCCCCCTGGCAGAACCCAACAGTGCAGATGAAGGTGGGCAGGTCCCCTGCTAGTTTCGGGTACCTCCAAAAGCCTCATGGGAATGTAAGCTACCTGTACATGAGGCTAAAACACCAGGTTCCTCTCCTTCACCTGGAATTCCATCAACGAGATTAGATAATAACGAGATTTCATAAAATCTAGTCTAAGTTCTGACTGGAAATCCGATGTTTCTGAGTCCTAAGAAGGTGGGGCGTGGGGGGGGGCACATTCTTCCTAGTTTCATGGACTATGTTTCAAGATACTGAAATGAGCCATGTGAGGGGGGCTGTCATTCTCAAGTTCCCTTTCAAGGTAAAACGTTAAGAGCTTGCAGACCTGCTGTATGCTTGGCATCCGGAGGGCTCAGGCAGGCCCCTGAGACGAAGTCCCGCTCAGCAGCACCTGCCTTGGGCTTCCGCATGACTGTGGCTTTCCCTTGGCATCCCAGGTAAAACCCTGGCTTCGCATTTACCTCTGAACTCTTGTATCACTTCCTTTCTATGTACAGAAGTGTGTCATTCTTGTTGAAACACTGCCGTGGAATCCAATCACAGGGCCACCCCCTCAGCCATGCAGCACCTCCATCAGCAGGCCACTATGCAGACCTGCCTCCGGCAGACATTATGCACAGTCTTGTTCAAACACAGCTCAAAGGTGGGGCCGAAATGGCACAAAAGCGCCGACCTTTTACCCCTGCATGGAAAGGAACACGGAGCCAGAAAGGCAGAAGAAAAACTAACTGGTTTTTATGACGAATAAATAACTGACATTTCTCAACATGACATTTTAATATATTGTTTTATGCAAGTAGTCATATTCTTCACATGTTTACTACATCATTCTTCTTATTATTTTTCACATACATAATACTGGGCACCCTCTAAGTATTGCATAAATGCAAGTTAGTTAGTCGAGTCCCCTTAAAGATGTTATAGCACAATACTGAAATGAACTGAAGCATGCCTGTAATTACAGATAATGAATTGAAGAGATGGTGATAAAAATTCAGACTGCATGAGGCTTGAGACTTTTGGTTCTGGGGTTTGGTTTGGTTTGGTTGCTGATATTCATAGAGAAAAAAACCCCAAAACATTGCTATCTCCATCGTATTTGCTCTCCATGGGTACCACCTAGCTTTCCTTTTGACAGGACAAGTAGTGACATTATTAGAGTTCACTATTAAATGCTTTCTTGATACTTGGCATAAAATTCCTTCCCATTCTTTATATACTCTCAGAAGAAGTAAATTCCTCCTTGTTGGAAATTCTATAGGAGAAAGTCAGCGTTTAATCCAGAGTCATGATCAGCTAGCTTTTTACCGCAATAGTCATCTGACAGTTTTGGTCAAGTTACTGTTTTACACATTACTGTACTGTAGGCAACTTTCTAGCATACACAGTATGTTATTTATTTCTTAAAGTGCCCCAATGAGATACAGTTGAGTAGTAATGCTATCTTTATAGAGCACAAACAAGTCATTTTTAAAAATTTTTATTATTAATTGGAAGTTAATACATATATCATTCCATCGTTCCCTCACATCAAGAAGAACTGTACAATTAGCATCAACCAGAACTCAATCTCCCTAAAGGTTAAAGAGTCCATCCTTCTTGTCCTCAGTTGAACTCACAAGCCTAGCACTGGTTCTGGCAGCAGAACCAGTAACTGTTCTATGGATATTTACTGAATAAATCAATACATTCCCTTATCGGTTTTAAGCATCCCACTTTCTTCTTCTTTTTTGTATAAAGCAGATTGGGAAGCCATGATGAAGCTCAGTGGTCTGTTCACCATCCTTAGGAAACTGTGCGCAAATGCTCTTAAAAACACCACACACCAACACAGCACCAGAACTTGGACTTGGTAATACTAAAGACAAAACTTAAAAATGTCCTTGGCAACATGAGAAATCCAAAGCACATCAAATGTTGACCTTCCCAAGTCCCAATGTTCCATGACAAAGTTTAAGCATCTCTAACTAGCGCTAGTACCCTGAACCTTCAATAAACACTGCCAGGTACAAACATAGGACCACAGTTCACAAAGCTGCCAGAGCTTTATGGCACCAATTCTTGACCACACTTTGTTTCCAATTTGACTACAAAGCCTGCCTTTTGATTATGATGACATTTTTACAGATAAGGATGATGGAAATATGGAATGATCTCTAAATTCTGAAGGTCAGGAGAGGGGAAAAAGATAATTCATTGAGAATGGAAAATATAAGGGTTTCATTTTAAGAAGCAGTTAAACTACAACAAATCATAACAAGAACTCTTGGGTCTTGGAGGTCACAATCTTCTTACACAACAGGCCAAGTAATAAATTATAATCATTCACTAATTACAGTGAAACTCTGGACTTTGACACATCAATCAATACATCCTGCAAGATGAGAGATGCCGGTTGAAGGCCGAAATAGTCTATTTGGCAATGCTTCCTTTAAAAAGATGTTTTTCCATGAGTTTTAATGTTATCTATTTCCTCCCTTCTCTCCCCGATTTTAAAAATTAGATAAATATGGGAGACCGACAGGGTTCTGGGGGAAGCAATCAACTCTGATTCTGTGTGTGAGAAAAAGTTAAAGAGGCCTCAGCCTCCCACCTGGTAAGGAAGCATGCATCTGTCTAACATCAGGGCCATCCACCTTGCAGGCTCAGTCTGTCACCAGACTCCTATCTGCACCTGCCCTTAAGCACCAAAAAGTGCCCGCTGGTAGGGGCCAAACTAACAACCAACTGCACGCTTGACAACTTTGGCGATTCCTGAAAATCCACAACAGGAACTATAACTCTCCTCCACCCACCCTAGCCATTCATCAAAAGCAGGCTGAGTCACGGCAACAGGGGGGCCAGAGGCGGAAAGCAAATGCCATGGTCATTTTTCTTTATTTGGAAAGACTCTGCTTCTAATTTTTTTTTTCAATCTGACTCTCTAACCAAGGACGAGGAGCACACTGCAGGAAGGAGGCTGCGAAGGGAAAGAGCATGAAAATGCACCCACGTTTGCAAACACCAAGGCTTAGACACCGTGAAAACCTACGTAGTATGTGGCAACCTCAGTTGCTGGTTCCAAGAGCGCTGTTTACAACTGATCACCAAGGGTCCGGTCTATCCCGGCTGACCCGGGCTCTTCGTCCGGTGCCCTCTCACTGTCCCTGCACGCGGCTCCAGCTAGGGGCTCGGGGTGGCCCCCCGGGAAGTGGGGGCGGTGCGCGTCCGGGAGGGGGCCGTGTTCGCAGCGGAAAACGTCCGCTC